AGGCTAAGTGGGGGAGAACAAGGGGTCACAAGACCAGTCAAGCAAAGCAAAGCAAAGCAAGCTCAGGGTGGATCACAAAGTCACCACACAGTCCGAGCACAAGAGCAGGGCCAGAGGCCAGTTCACATGCAGGAGTACAGACATATATATAAAACTAGACAAGCAAGAGCAGGTATATATATATGTCACAGTACAAGTGAAGTCAAGAGGAGAGCAAGTGAGGCAAGACAGGTACAAGACCCAGCTGGGTGCAAAAGCGCTGATGGTCACAAGGCGCGAGTGCCTTGGTGAACACATTAGCAGTGTTGGCCTCAGAGGCCACGTACGCAAGTCGCAACTGACCACGCTGCTGCAGCTCACGAGCAAGGAAGTAGCGGAGAGCAATGTGCTTCGTTCTGTGCTCCAAGCGCTGCTCTCGACACAAGGCCAGCATGGCCTTGTTGTCTACGTACAGCACTGGAGGAGAACGAGGCGGCTCTCCAAGGTCAGTCAGCAGGTAGGTGAGCCAGCGAAGCTCCTGTGCAGCCATGGCCCCGGCGTAGATCTCAGCCTCACAACTGGAGCCGAGAACTGAAGACGAGCGAGTAGACCGCCACGAGACAGAGCCGGAACCAAGGCTGAAGGTGTAACCCTGTGACGACCGCTGCGTAGCCAAGTCGTCAGCCCAAGAAGCGTCCGCGTGGCCGGTAAGGACCACTAGACTCCGCCCTCCAAGCACTAGCCCCATGCCCGACGTACTGCACAGGTAGCGCAATACCCTCTTCGCTGCAGCCATGTGCTCCGGTCTGTGTCTCCCAGGAGCAACATAGCGTGCAAGAATGCTCAGAGGGTATGCAAGGTCAGGTCGTGTGCAGGTCATCAGGTACATGAGGCAGCCAACAAGCTCTGCATACGGACCACTCGACTCTACGGACTCATCCGAAGGCAGAGCTGAGAGTGAGTGGCGAGTAGGCAGAGGAGTGGCCTGAGGCGAGGAGTACGTGAAGCCGAAGCGCTGAAGGACCTGCTGCACCATGTGTGACTGAGTCAAGGTAATGGTGCGGCGTGCTCTGTCCCGAGTGATCTGCAAGCCAAGGTAGCTGCGCAGTTCACCCAGGTCTGTGCACGTGTGTCTCTTCAGCAGCTCGGACTTCACGTAGGCGAGTCCAGCAGTGTCCGCTGTGGCAAAGACCAAGTCGTCGACGTACACGAGGATGTAGAACGGCGGCAGGGAAGTGTCGGTGCGAAGAAACAGCGACGGGTCAGCAGTAGAAGGAGCAAACCCAAGAGCCGCAAGCGTAGTCCTCAGTGTGTCGTGCCACTCACGCGGTGCCTGGCGGAGACCGTAGACTGGCCGTCGGAGGCTCCACTGGGTGCCAGGAGGGAAAGTCCCAGTGAAGCCAGGTGGACGGCGAAGCCAGATCTCCTCGTGGAGGCTACCCTGCAAGAAAGCAGTGTTGAAGTCGAGAGAGTGAAGCTCGTAGTCGCGCTGAGCGGCTATGTGCAGCAGCACCCGAAGAGTAGTCATCTTCGGGGTGGGAGAGAAGGTCTGAAAGTTGTCAACTCCCTGCCACTGACTGAAGCCACGAGCAACGTACCGTGCCTTGAAGACAGGTGGAGAGCCCGGCGGCCGCTTCACCCTGAAGATCCACATGCCACTGACGATGTTCGCCCCAGGAGGGGGAACCGCGTCAACGTAGGTGCCTGTGGACTTCCAGGAAGCCATCTCTGCATCCATAGCTGCCTGCCACTGAGAGGAGTAGGGACCCTCTACGGCCTCCGCGTAAGAACGCGGAGTCGGGATGTCTAGTGCATCCGGGTCTCCCTAAGGGGCAAGCAGTACAGACGCGAGATGAGGTGAAGCAGCCGCTAGACACTGTAACTCCTCCTGCCTGTCCTCTAGGACGTCCGTGCCAAGAGCACACTCACCCCCGACGGACGGAGGACAGACAGACGCAGACTCAGCAACAAGACTAGCAGCGTAGTCGAGACGACAGCGAGCAGCGAAGTCGACGAACTCAGCGACAAGGGCAGACGCAGCAGTGGACTCAAACGAGGGGTCAGTGACGACAGTAGCAAGGAGACGCGTGACAGTAGGACTGGCAGCACGAAGAGAGTCCGACTCAGGGTCGGTAAGCGCAGGAAGAGAGGACTCAGGAGGAGAAGGCAAAGGGGCACGCAGAGGAGCAGTGGACGGACGCAAAGACATCCGGTGCGTGCCAGGGACAGGAGGAGGACGCTGACGCGAACTGCGACCACTAGCGCGAGCAGTACGAACAGGCGACGCGGGACGAGACGCAGGCTCACGACGCTCAGCAAGACCTCCAGTAGGACCAGTGTAAGGAGAGGGAGCAGGCAGTGGAGAGGAAGGCTCCAGTAGGGACTGCGACTGGACAGGCGGTGGACCCTCTACTAGAGGAGAAAGACCAAGAACCTGCTGCAGGAGCGGAACGAAGTACGGCCGAGGCCGCGCGGCAGCTCCAGACTCAGCAGGGACAGCACCACCACCCTCAGCGACAGCACCAGCGCCACTCACACCTCCAGCGGCAGGACCAACAGCAGCAGGCTCAGCACCAACGCCCTCAGCAGCTCCAGCTCTAGGAGGACCCGCAGGTCCAGCAGCTCCGGGACCGGCAGCACCCGCACCCTCGACGGTCGAAGAAGCTCCAGCTCCAGCTCCAGCAGCACCTCCAGACGCAGCAGCACGCCTCCAGCGGCGAGCGAACCACTCGCGCAGCTCTTGTGGAGAGAGGGGCTCCCGGCGAGACGCAGCAGCAGGAGAAACCCCAGGCTCAGCAGCTCCAGACGCAGCACCCCCAGGCTCAGCAGCTCCCAGCACAGCACCCCCAGGCTCAGCAGCTCCCGACCCAGCACCCCCAGACCCAGCACCTCCAGGCACAGCACCCCCCGGCTCAGCACCCCCAGGCTCCGCACCCTCCGCAGTAGCACCCTCAGGCCCAGCACCCCCAGCAGTAGCACCCCCAGGCTCAGCACCCCCGCGCACAGCACCCCCAGAGTCAGCACCCCCAGGCTCAGCACCCGCAGCAGCACCAGAGTCACCTGTAACCTCGACCGGGTCAACGGCGTCTACCTGGGACACACCTGAGGGGGCAGGAACCTGAGGGGGGAGGGGGTCTACCGGGGGGGGAACCGGCACAAGGAAGTCCGGGGGAGGGGGGAGGGAAGGAGTGCGGTAGGGGAAGAGACGGTAGAAGGGGACTGACTCGTCGAACGTGACGTCCTGGGAGGACAGAACACGACGAGAGGAGGGGTGGTAAAACTGCCACCCTGGGGCGTCAGTGGGGAAGCCAAGGAAGACACAGGGAGCAGCACGAGGGGACAGCTTGTCCGCAGACAAGTCGCGGACAAACGCCCGAGATCCCCAGACACGGAACACAGACGCATCGCCAACCTTCCCCGTCCACAGCAAGGCTGGGGACATCGCAGGCCGAGAGACCCTGGGGTGAAGGTTGAGCTGATGCGCCGCGTACCGAACCGCAAACGGCCACAGAAAATGGGGGGCAGCCGCATGCATCATGGACGTACGAGCGACATCCATGACCATGCCAATGCGGCGCTCAGCAATCCCATTTTGCTGTGGTGAGTCCGGAAGCGTGAAGGTCTGGCGGATCCCCCGTGCACGACAGTAGTCCCGCAGAAGGCGAGAAGAGAACTCTCCGCCTCTGTCCGAGTGCAGACGCAGAACAGGAAAGTCCGAGCCGAAGCTCTTCCTGAGCTGGAGACGAGCCTCGCGGATCCAGTCGATCAGCACCTCAGTGACCGCACCCTTGCTGCGCAAGGGGAGGACTGTGGTGTAACGCGAGTAGTCGTCAACCACCAACAGGAAGTAGCGCTCGTAACCCTGCCCACGGACGGGGGCTGGGCCCCACACATCCATGTGAAGCATCTGCAGGGGAGCCTCTGTCGGGGGGAAGTGGGAGGAGTGAGGAGTAGCCCGGAGGCGACCCTCGACACAGGGGACACAGGAAGGTCCTGGCCCGGAGGGGAGAGGAGGGAGAGACTGGGGAAGACCAGAGACAAGGACACGGGAAGCCATGCTCCGAAGACGGGGCAAGGAGGGGTGGCCAAGACGGTGGTGCCACAGGAGAGTCTCGTGAGACAGGAGGCGACAAGAACAGGGGGCAGACTCAGGACCTGACCGGGACGCAGCAGCAAGCACCTGACCCGACGCAGCCACCTGACCAGACGCAGGGACAGGAGGAGACTCAACGGTCAGGGTGTAGAGACTCGACCCCGGCCGACGCGAGAACGTGGCCAGGTGTCGGCCTGTGCGTGCCTCCGTGCAGTGGGTCACCCGCTGACTCGCAGGAGTGAACTGGTGAACCCCCACATCCTGCAGGTCCGCTCCACTCACCAAGTTCGTAGAGAACGAGGGAAGGTACAGACCAGACAGGGTGCCCGAAGGGGCAGCCGGACACGGGAGGACAGTGGAGAAGTGAGACAGGACAGGACCCCCAGAGGGGTCAGCAAGGGAGACCGCAACCGGCCGGCCGAGCGGCGTAAGGGTAGTGCGGTCTCGAAAGAAGGAGCGAGACGCCCCGGAGTCAAGTGTGAAAGTGAGGGAGGACGAGGACGACACAGTACCTGAGAGCGCAGTCTCACCAGTACCTGAGAGCACAGACGCACTGGCACCTAGAGCAGCAGCCTCACAAGCACCTAGCGCAGCAGTACCAATGCCCGGGTCGGGCTGGAAACACCGGTAACCCTCATTCTCCTCACTATAATCCACAGCATACATAGCAGCAAGGATAGCATCAAAATCAAGATCAAAGATCGCTACACCAGCCCTTAGAAGTTCATCCCAGCGAGGGATCTCACTAGCCCCAGGGAACTGCTGACGCCAAGCGTCCGTCAGGCGGCCAAAGCAGCGCTGGGTGGCGTGGGCACCCCCACACTGCTCACCCGCGCGGTCGCCGGAACGAAGAACGTAGGTGCAGGGACCAGTACCCCCACCCCTCTGACGCCCAGCGTACCACTCACGAAGCTGCTGAGGCGGAGGGATGTCCCGCGAGCGCTGCTGCTGCTGCCGCTGCGAGCGCTGGCCACCACCACCGCCGCTACGCTGCTGGGTACCACCTCGACCAGCTCCACCTCCTCCACCACCACCGCCTCCTCCGCTGCCGCCTCCACCGCCTCCACCTCCGCCGCCTCCACCTCCGCCGCTGCCTCCACCACCACCGCTGGCACCACCACCACCGTCTCCGCCGCTGCTGCCACCACCACCACCACCCCCGCCACTAGTCCCGCCGCCACCCCCACTCCCTCCGCCGCCACCGCCGCCACCGCCACCGCCCCCTCCAGCTCCACCCGCGCCCTTGCCCCCCTTGCGCTTGCTGGAGCGACGTCTCCCACTAGGGGTAGACGCCGCGCCGACCGACTCAAGACCAAGCAGGTCGGCAGCAGCAGCAGAGGCAACAGAGGGCAGCAAGGGGGAAGGAGAGCACCCCTCAAAGATGGGGGTGCGAGGGTCACCACGAGAAGCACCTACAGCGACTATGCTCTTCTCCGCTGCGAGGAGGGCCTTCTCGAGGAGGTCGACGGTGAGGGTGGTGGGACAGACTGCGAGAAAGTGGTCCCTGACGACGCGAAGGGAGTCAGGGAGGCGCGCGACTACGTAGTAGAGAGCGATGTACATGGGGGGTGGGTTCTTAGCGCAGAACTCAGCAGGAAGGGCGGCGCGGTAGCGAGTGTCACTAGTGCGGAGGTGCGTAATGAGGTCAGCAACAGTGGGAAAGGCAGAGAGGTCAGGAAAGAGGTAGGGAAGCATGAGACGGCTCAGTGCAGCAGTGGCAGGGGAGGAGTAGCGCGCAACTACAGCGTCGTACAAGGTCTGAGCACTCTTGTACTGACTAAAGTGCGCACGCTCAGAGGTAGGGAGGTGGCGACGCACAGCAAGACGTGCAGCAGCATCGCGGTGTCAAACATTAGATATGTTCTGCTTGTGTAGGCTACAGTGGGTTAGCCTATAGGGGGTACACAATTCTAGGGTTTCCTACTTGTACTCATTTCACTGCTAGTTCATTCATTCCTGTTCGCTTATTCTCACATGGTATAGAGCGGGTCCTTCTACGGACCGGTTTTTCTTGGGCCCACCGAAGCGCCCCCCGAGGCGCGATCTTTTTTTTAGCGACCCCTCGGGTCGCCATTTCCCCTGCGGCCCCGCCGCCTTCACTGACGCGGCCCCGCCGCCCTCTCTGTCGCGGCCCCGCCGCCTGCTCTCACGCGGCCCCGCCCCGGCTCCTTCGCGGCCCCGCCGCCTGCTCTCGCGCGGCCCCGCCCCGGCTTCTACGCGGCCCCGCCCCGGCTTTCACGCGGCCCCGCCGACGGCTTTGTCGCGGCCCCGCCCAGGCCCTTACGCGGCTCCGCCGCCTGCTCTCACGCGGCCCCGCCCCGGCTCCTTCGCGGCCCCGCCGCCTGCTCTCGCGCGGCCCCGCCCCGGCTTCTACGCGGCCCCGCCCCGGCTTTCACGCGGCCCCGCCGACGGCTTTGTCGCGGCCCCGCCCAGGCCCTTACGCGGCTCCGCCGCCTGCTCTCACGCGGCCCCGCCCCGGCTCCTTCGCGGCCCCGCCGCCTGCTCTCGCGCGGCCCCGCCCCGGCTTCTACGCGGCCCCGCCCCGGCTTTCACGCGGCCCCGTCGACGGCTCTGTCGCGGCCCCGCCCAGGCCCTTACGCGGCCCCGCCGCCTGCCCCCGTCGCGGCCCGGTCACCTCCTGACGGCCCCGCCGTCCCTTCGTGACGGCCCCGCCGTCCCCTCCTGACGGCTCCTGCCGTCCCCTTCTACCGGCCCCGCAACTGCACCTGCTGGCCCCGCCGCTGCACCTACCGGCCCCCCCCACCACCCACCCCCCCCCCTTTTCCCGTCACCCGTCGCAGCTCCTGAGGGGGCCGCAAGCGGCCCCCTCAGGTCGCCTCGACAGGCGACGGGAGAGGCCAGCAGAGGGGTGGCAGGTGTGTGGCCTCCCCTGCTTCTCCTCCTCCTTCATCTCCCACTGCAGCAGCCGAGCCGCTCACCTGCAGCAGCCGAGCCGCCCCACCGCCGAGCCGCCCTGCACCCGAGCCGCCCAGCAGCCGAGCCACCCTGCCGCCGAGCCGCCGGGTCGCTGAGCTGCTGAGCTGCAGTTGCTGCCGAGCCGCCCTGCCGCCGAGCCGCCGAGTCACCGAGCTGCTGAGCTGCAGTTGCTGCCGAGCCGCCTTGCCGCCGAGCCGCCCGAGTCGCCCGAGCCGCCGAGCCGCCGAGCTGCCGAGCCGCTGAGTCGCCGAGCCTACTCTTCCCACCACTGGTGAGCTCTTGCCCTGCTAGCACGCTGCGCGTCGCCTGCTTGCCTGCCTGCCTGCCTTTTGGCTTGCCTGGCTGCCTGCCTCCCTGCTGCTAGTCCTGCTCCTGCTTCTACTTGCGGAGCCAAATGCAGCCCCAGCGACGCCGGCGTGAGTCCCTCACGCCCCAGCAGCTGCGTGAGTGGTACGCTGGTTGGGGCTGTAGGGGTGGCGACGCTACTCCTACTTCCACTCCTGCTGCTTCTACTCGTGGTGGCGGCCAGATGCAGCTCCCGCGACCCTCTCGCGTGTCTCTCACGCCTCGCCAGCTTCGTGAGTGGTACGCTCAGAGTGGAGGGTCTCTCAGTGCTGTTCGCTGCTCTTACGTGATTCGCACTGGTACTCGGACTGGTCAGCCTTGTGGGACACGTAGTCATACACCGTCCAGCTGCTTCGCCCGTCTGAGCGACGCCTGGCGTACCGTGTTTGGCGACGAGGCTGAGCTTCCCGACTGGGTGGAGTTGCTTAGGCAGAGGGTAGATATATATGCTCTTGACTATGATGCTATTCTCACTGCCATGTATGCATTGCCTACTAGTGCTGACCGTGCCGGTCACCTGTGCGTCCCGCCTGACCCAGGTATAGGACCTGCTGCTCTAGCTACTGGTGTGGCTGCTGCTCTGGGTGCTAGTGAGTCTCCTGCTCCAGGTACAGGTGCGGCTGCTGCTCTAGGTGCTAGTGAGTCTGCTTCCTCAGGTGCGGGTGAGGCTGCGCTCTCAGGTACCGCGTTGGCTTCGGCCTCCCTCACCTTTACACTTGACTCTGGGGCTTCTCGCTCCTTCTTTCGGGACCGCACCACACTCACGCCGCTTGGTCGGCCGGTTGCAGTCTCCCTGGCTGACCCCTCTGGGGGTCCTGTCCTCGCTCACTTCTCCACTTTCCTCCCGTGTCCGGCTGCCCCCTCGGGCACCCTGTCTGGCCTGTACCTCCCCTCGTTCTCGACGAACTTGGTGAGTGGTGCAGACCTACAGGATGCGGGGGTTCACCAGTTCACTCCTGCGAGTCAGCGGGTGACCCACTGCACGGACGCACGCACAGGCCGGCACCTGGCCACGTTCTCGCGTCGGCCGGGGTCGAGCCTCTACACCCTGACCACTGAGTCTCCTCCTGTCCCCGCGTCCGGTCAGGTAGCAGCGTCGGGTCAGGTGTTTGCTGCTGCGTCCAGGTCTGGTCCTGAGTCTGCCCCCTGTTCGTGTCGCCTCCTGTCTCACGAGACTCTTCTGTGGCACCACCGTCTAGGCCACCCCTCCTTGCCCCGTCTTCGGGGCATGGCTTCCCGTGTCCTTGTCTCTGGTCTTCCCCAGTCTCTCCCTCCCCTTCCTTCGGGACCAGGACCTTCCTGTGTCCCCTGTGTCGAGGGGCGCCTCAGGGCTGCTCCTCACTCCTCCCAGTTTCCCCCGACAGAGGCTCCTCTGCAGACGCTTCACATGGACGTGTGGGGCCCGGCCCCCGTCCGTGGGCAGGGTCACGAGCGCTACTTCCTGTTGGTGGTTGACGACTACTCGCGTTACACCTCAGTCTTCCCCTTGCGCAGCAAGGGTGCTGTCACTGAGGTGCTGATCGACTGGATCCGCGAGGCTCGTCTCCAGCTCAGGAGGAGCTTCGGCTCGGACTTTCCTGTTCTGCGTCTGCACTCTGACCGAGGTGGGGAGTTCTCCTCTCGCCTTCTGCGAGACTACTGTCGTGCACAGGGGATCCGCCAGACCTTTACGCTTCCGGACTCTCCACAGCAAAATGGGATTGCTGAGCGCCGCATTGGCATGGTCATGGATGTCGCTCGTACGTCCATGATGCATGCGGCTGCCCCCCATTTTCTGTGGCCGTTTGCGGTTCGGTACGCGGCGCATCAGCTCAACCTTCACCCCAGGGTCTCTCGGCCCGCGATGTCCCCAGTGTTACTGTGGACGGGGAAGGTTGGCGATGCGTCTGCGTTCCGTGTCTGGGGATCTCGGGCGTTTGTCCGCGACTTGTCTGCGGACAAGCTGTCCCCCCGTGCTGCTCCCTGTGTCTTCCTTGGCTTCCCCCCTGACGCTCCAGGGTGGCAGTTCTACCACCCCTCCTCTCGTCGTGTTCTGTCCTCCCAGGACGTCACGTTCGACGAGTCAGTCCCCTTCTACCGCCTCTTCCCCTACCGTACTCCTTCCCTTCCCCCCCCACCGGACTTCCTAGTACCAGTTCCCCCCCCGGTAGACCCCCTCCCCCCTCAGGTTCCTGCCCCTTCAGGTGTGTCCCAGGTAGACACGGTCGAGCCAGTCGAGGTTGCTGCTGAGTCTGGTCCTGCTGTGGGTGCTGAGCCTGGGGGTGCTGCTGCTGGGGGTGCTGAGCCTGGGGGTGCTGAGCCTGGGGGTGCGAGGCCGGGGGGTGCTGAGTCTGGGGGTGCTGAGCCGGGGGGTGCTGAGCCGGAGGGTACTACGTCAGAAGCTGCTGAGCCTGGGGGTGCTGGGCCTGGAGGTGCAGAGCCAGCGCCTGCTGGACCTGGGGGCTCTCCGGTTCTTCCGTCTCGGCGGGAGCCGCTCTCTCCACAGGAGCTGCGCGAGTGGTTTGCTCGCCGCTGGAGGCGTGCTGCTGGAGCTGGAGCTTCTTCGCCTGCTGAGGGTGCTGCCGGTCCCGGAGCTGCTGGGCCTGCGGGTCCTACTGGAGCTGGAGCTACTGAGTCTGGGGGTGCTGAGTCTGGAGCTGCTGAGCCTGGAGGTGCTGAGTCTGGAGCGGCTGTGCCTGGGGGTGCTGAGTCTGGAGCTGCTGAGCCTGGGGTTTCTCCTGCTGCTGCGTCTCGCCGGGAGCCCCTCTCTCCCCAGGAGCTGCGTGAGTGGTTTGCTCGCCGCTGGAGGAGTGCTGCTGGAGCTGGAGCTTCGTCGACCGTCGAGGGTGCTGGTGCTGCCGGTCCCGGAGCTGCTGGGCCTACGGGTCCTACTGGAGCTGGAGCTGCTGAGGGTGTTGGTGCTGAGACTACTGCTGTCTGTCCTGGCGGTGGTTCTGCTGCTGGTGCTGCTGGAGGTCCTGCCGCTGGAGGTGTTGGTGGCGCTGGTGCTGTCGCTGAGGGTGCTGGTGCTGTCCCTGCTGAGTCTGGAGCTGCCACGCGGCCTCGGCCGTACTTCGTTCCGCTCCTACAGCAGGTTCTTGGTCTTTCTCCTTCGGTAGAGTGTCCACAGCCTGTCCAGTCGCAGTCACTGTTGGAGCCTTCCTCTCCTCTTCCTGCTCCCTCTCCTTACACTGGTCCTACTGGAGGTCTTGCTGAGCGTCGTGAGCCTGCGTCTCGTCCCGCGTCGCCTGTTCGTGCTACTCGCGCTAGTGGTCGCGGTTCGCGTCAGCGTCCTCCTCCTGTCCCTGGCACGCACCGGATGTCTCTGCGTCCGTCCACTGCTCCTCTGCG